ATGAATTATGGCCTTTATCCCCCATCTCTGATCCCTTGCCCAGCACGTGAGGGAGTCAACTGTCTTCATTTTTAGAAGAGGAAACTGAGGTTCAGAGAGGTTAAGGATGTTGCCCTCCTTTCCAGAGGACCAGGGGAGACAGCGGCCCCCCGCTCGGGCCCCTCCAGCCTCACCGTCAGTGCTGGCGTCATCCACCAGTATGACCTCCTTCAGCAGGACGGCAGGGGCGGTGTGCAGTACACTGTACACGGTCCGTAGCAGCGTGGACCAGGCCTCGTTGTGAAACACGATGATGACACTGGTGCTGGGCAGTGGGGGGCAGCGGCGGAACTTCTGGTCGACACATCTAGAAGGATGGAAGTCCAGATACAGCTCTCCAGGCCCCCGGGAGTTCCAGGGGTGGGAGGGCCCTGTCCACAGGCTGCTATCACCATCCTCTGCTCTCTGTTGTGGTTGGGAGGAGCTGCTCCCTGTTCCTGGCTAACTCTGATTTTCCACCGACTCTGAGCCTCTGCACAGGTCCTAGCTAAACCCATTCCAAACCCCATCCGCCCCACGGCTGGCTCGGTGCCCCAGCTGTGATGTGGAGGGCTCCCTCCCTCTGACTTTTCTCGTCTGCTCCCCACCCTGAGTTCCCAGGGCTGCCTCTCTTCCTCAGTAATGTGTGTACTGTAAAAAGTGTAATCCAATCCAGAGGTCCCCGAGGGGAAGTAATAAAGGGCAAATTTGACATCTGAGAAAAGTGACTACAATTTCCGTACTCAAGGAGAGAAAAAAGGCTCTTTTCTTTACAATTTACAGTGCTTCTCTAACCCATTTCCTCATTAATTCTCTGTAATCTGATACTACCATCACACACGATTTCCTGTGACCTATTCTCTGTCTTCATCAACTCCAGCTACACTGGGCACGTGGCCACGCCACCACACTCTTGACACTCTGCCTTGGGTGGGGGTGGGACAGTGTGAATCCTAAACCTCAGGGAATCATGTGGCCTGACAGTCTTTCTATTTTTTCTCTCTTTTTTTTAAGATTTTATTTTACTTACGAGAGAGAGAGAGGAGCAGGGGGAGTGGCAGAGGGAGAGAGCGAGAAGCAGGCTCCCTGCTAAGCAGGGAGCCCGACGTGTGGCTCGATCCCAGGACCCCGGGATCATGACCTGAGCCAACGGCAGACGCTTAACGACTGAGCCACCCAGGCGCCCCCTGACAGCCTTTCTTACCCACCCTCTGCTGTCAGAGAGATTTCTGTGGATCCTCCAGAAGAGACTCCCCCACTTCCTCCACTGGCTACCCTCCTGCCCTGCACCCCTCCCTGCTGAGGAGCTCCTGATAACTCCGAGTGGCTCCACCTTCTAGGACTTTAATACTTGGTCCAAGTCTGAGGCGCCCTAGGATCACAGCCCTAAGGAATCATGAACTCGAGGAAGGGGACTGCCATGTGAGAAAAGGCCGGAAAGAGTCTAACTCTTGGGCTGGGAAAGACAAAATCTTTGACTTGAGGACAATGTGAGCCCAGCAGCTCAGACGCGCCAGGGCTGGCTCACTGCCCAGGACCGTGAGTATAAACGGCTTCACATGGAGGTTGGAATGAATTCCTGGTCCTGTGGCCCTTCACAGAGGGAAACCAGGAGGTGTGGGGATAGTCCTAACCATCCGGGCTGCTGTCCGGAAACATCCCTTTCTCAACAGCTCAACGGCAGAGTCCCACAGGCTCTCGGGCAGGCCTCCGCGAAGGGCAAGGTCACTGAGTCTGCAGTCTGGAGCTGTCCCTCCCAGTTACCCTCGTGCCAGGTCCTGGTCCCAGGCCCTGAGCTCCTCCTTCTGGGTCCCAGGCCCTGAGCTCCTCCTCCTTCACAACTATAATTTCATAACTGGTCATTTTACTGTCACGGTCTCCCTGGGCCTCTGGCCTGACCACGATACCAACCCTGAGGATAAGGGCACTGGTCAGGACAAGAAGGGAGGGCTTAGCAGAAATCCTTGACCATATCACACAATCACCAGTAGCTCTTTACCTGGCCTTTTGGCCCATGGCCATGACCACACCAGCCACACCTTTGGCCGAGCCCTGGCCTCACCCCAGGACTCCGGGGGCTACTTACTCAGGGGGTCGGGTGTCTGGCCCCAGGGCCCTCTGCAGGGAGATCCGGTCACTGGCAAAGGCGTTGAAGCAGTGCTTCTTATAGCCTTCTTCCTTTTCCTGGGTCTCCAGGCGGGTCCACTTGTCCTTCTGAAATGCTTTCCCATCTGCCCCAGGGCCATTGGGATCCTGGGGTGGCCGTTCCCAGAAGGGCTTCAGCTCAGCTGGGGTGTAGAACCCAGGCAAGCAGGACTGGTTTGTGGAGACAGCTGTCTCCTGGGGCTCTGGAGCCCTGATCTGGAGCTTAGGCATCGAATCTCTAAGGTTGTTCACAGCCCCCAACATGAGGTCCAGGACGTGATCCTTCTGGCTCACCAATGACTTCAGCCATGGTTTCTCGGTGGCCCGTTCCGAGCTGCTTACATCCCGGTGCAGCACGAAGAGGAAGAGCATGAAGGCACCGCCCACCATGGCCAGGCGCAGGTGCATGTGGCGTCTGCGGAAGAGCCGCATCCTCGGGAGCCCACGGGGACCCTGGCTGGGTCAGCTCTGAGCGGGGGGGCCCGACACTGGAAATAGCTCGGTAGGGTGTAGCGGCTACACCCAGGGGCCTCAGCCTGAGAAGGGAAGGGATGAGAGAGAGAAATGAGCCAAGGCAGAGGTGTGGAGGGAGCCCGGGGGCTTGGGATTTGAGTCCATGCTCTGCTGCCAAATGGTGATCACACCTAGGCCCAGTCACTTAACTCCTCTGGGCCTAAATTTCCTCTCTCCACAAGATCAGGAAACCAGACTCAGTGTTTCTCTCCTGCTCTAAGACTGTGACACTCATACATCTGGGATATACCAACCGACTGCTGAAACTCTGCATGAAGAGGCTTAATCAACATAACCGCTTTGGGAAACAATGTGGCATTATCAAGCAAAATTTAAAATGTACCCACCCAGGGAGTGCCTGGGTGGTGAGGTCAGTTAGGCCTCTGACTCTTGGTTTTGGCTCAGGTTATGATCTCAGGGTCCTGGGATCGAGCCCCATGTCGGGCTCTGCACTCAGTGGGGAGTCTGCTTGGGATTCTCTCTTTCCTGCTCCCTCTGCCCCTCTCCCCGCTCTCTCTCTCTCTCTCTCTCTAATAATAATAAATAAATAAATCTTCTAGAAAAATTACAAAGAAGAAAAAAATGTTCACCCCCTATGACCCTGCAATTCTATTACCAGTTTTACATCCCAGAGAAACTCCTGCGCCTATGAGCCAGGAGGCATGTAGGGGAAAGTTCCTAGCAGCACTGACTAAAATGGCCAAAATTAGAAGTAATGCCATGTCCACCCACAGAATGAACAAGTGTGAAATACCCACAGCGCAGAGTACTCTAGAGCAGTGACAAAGCGTGAGCAACTTCTACAAGCAGCTGCATGGGGCAATCGCTGAGGCCAGACAGCAGGCTGCAGCAAGATACATAGCGGATGAACCCACTTACAGAAAAGGCAAAAACCTGGAAAACTGAATATATTGTTTATGAACACAAAAATGAAGGAGTGGTCAAGCTAGAAAGAAAAATGAAGGGGAGGGACGCCTGGGTGGCTCAGTCATTAAGCATCTGGCTTCGGCTCCGGTCATGACCCCAGGGTCCTGGGATCGAGCCCCGCATCAGGCTCCCTGCTCCGCGGGAAGCCTGCTTCTCCCTCTCCCACTCCCCCTGCTTGTGTCCCCTCTCTCTGTCAAATAAATAAATAAAATCTTAAAAAAAAAAAAAAAGAAAAATGAAGGGGAAAAAGACCCTGAAGGAATAATAAAACCAAAATTTCTGGAGAGGGAGGAAAACATATGGGAATAGAGCCCTACAGTGGACTTGAAAGTATTTTTTCTTAAGTGGATGGTGGCTGCTGGGGGAACTGTTATTCTCTACACCCTTACTTTTATTTTATAAATATTCTTCTGTATCTACTCATATTTAATTAAAAAAACAAAACAGGGAGCCTGGGTGGCTCAGTTGGTTAAGCTACTGCCTTCGGCTCAGATCATGATCCTGGAGTCCCGGGATCGAGTCCCACATCAGGCTCCCTGCTCGGCAGGGAGAGGAGAAGTCTGCTTCTCCTCTGACCCTCTTCCCTCTCGTGCTCTCTATCTCTCATTCTCTCTCTCTCACATAAATAAATAAAATCTTTAAAAACAACAACAACAACAACAACAACACCTGAGGTTCTATGACAACATCTTCCGGGCAGAAATGGGATTATGTGTTCACCAGCTTCCATCCTCAGGAACTTAGTCACATGGCTCAAAGGATGAGTGTAAAATTTTCCGTGGAGAACTCTGGAAGCATAAGGCTTTTGTTGTTGTTGTTGTTAAAGCTTTTATTTATTTACTTGTGTGAGCTAGAGTGCGTGCGTGCACTTATGTGAGCAAGTCAAGGGGGGGTGACAAAGGGAGAGGGAGAAGCAGGCTCCCCGCTGAGCAAGGAGCCCCATGCAGGACTGGATCCCGGGAACCTGGGATCATGACCCGAGCTGAATGCAGACGCTAAACCGACTGAGCCACCCAGGCGCTCCTGGAAGCATAAGGCTTATTGATTAAATGCTAGATGTTGGTGGCAGGAGACCTGGGTACAAATCCCAGTTTTGCCCCTTCTAGTAACAATAGCACCTACCTCCTAGGGTTGTTGTAAGGATTAAAGCTCAATGAAATAATTCATGGAAAAAGTTTAGCAGTCTCTGGACATAGTAAGTTCTCAAAAAGCGCTGGTTTCCATTATTAGCCTCTGTGTGTGCCTGGGACAAAGTAGTTCATCTCTCTAAGGCTCCATCTCCTCATCTAGAAAGTGGGGGTAACTAATACCTAACGCACAGGGTTGCAGTGAGGATGAAATCAGAGATAATGTACATAAACTACTCAGCAGAGTGCCGGGCACGTACTAAGCCCTCAATAAATGCTATCAATTATTTCTATTATTATAATTAATAAATCCCTGCTCAGCTTCCCAGCAATTATCCTTGAGTACCTGGTCCTTGGCCAAAGCCACATTCATTACCTGTGGCATGTCTTGTTTAAAAGTAATGCCAGTTGAACTCCTTACTGCTGTTATTTAAACACACAAGCTCCTTCCTGCCTGTGGAGAGAAGCCAGATGTCTGGAGTCACTTGGATCTGGGGAATATGAGTCCATCCTGATTTCAAGAGGGAGCAGGGCTAGACAGGTGGTTTTCTTTTATAACAGCGGATTCAGCAGCATCATCAAAAGTCAAATAAAACCGGGCACCTGGGTGGCTCAGTTGGTTAAGCGACTGCCTTCGGCTCAGGTCATGATCCTGGAGTCCCGGGATCGAGTCCCGCATCGGGCTTCCTGCTCAGCAGGGAGTCTGCTTCTCCCTCTGACCCTCTTCCCTCTCGTGCTCTCTATCTCTCATTCTCTCTCGCTAATAAATAAATAAAAATCTTAAAAAAAAAAAAGTCAAATAAAACCAAATCTCTTTGAGCAAGTGTTTTGTATCAGGAGTCATCTAGGAGACGAGGGAGGAAATGTATTCATTCAGCCAGCATTGTGAATGCCTGCTACATGTCAGGTACTCTGCCAGACAGGCGTGTTAAGTGGGAGCTTATGTACCGAATTAAGAATATTCAGGTTATGACCTGCTGAACGGGGAGACACAAGCCACCCCCATGGCATCAGCAGGTGGCTCCCCCAGCATCTGAGGTCCCACTTTGGGGAAGTGAAACCCATGGGGTCATTCTGACTGAAGGCCCAGTTTCAACACACCCACACAAAGGAAGAAGCAGAGGCACAAGATTTATTATTACTTACGGATCCCAGAAGCAAGGGGGTGCAATGAGCCAGGGGAAGGGCAGTCCTTGGTCCGGGGCCACCTGCAAGCAGGAGACGGAGATAGACAGCTGGCACCTATACTCAAAGGCAATTGGGACAGAGGTCACTAACTTTTCTCGAGCTTAACTCCTAAGTGGTTATTTTAAAAGGTGCCCCGCTAAAAGCAAAACGGGAACTTTTGGCAGGTATTCTAAACTCAAGTCCTATCTAAACGTCCAGACTCTGCGGTGAGTAGGGTAATCATACTCGATAAAATGCCGAGGCAGCAACTCAGAAAAACAAAGCTGTCTTTCTCAAAAGTTGTTTTCCTCATCACAGTGGGGGAGACAGAGATGAGCAAGTCCAGCCTTCAAGGAGCATAGAGTCAACCGGGAAAGTCAGATTTTTTTTTTTTAATTGAAGCATAGTTGACCTGGGAAGTCAGATTTTAAATGGAGATCACCCAGTGAGACAGGCACCCTTGGTGCCCAGAAAGAGAGGACGCAGGAAACTCAGCGAGTGGGGAAGGGTGATGTCTGTGAAGAGGTCCTGCAGTAGGAGGAGCCTGGACTGAGCACTAACCCACAGGTAGGAGCTGGCCAGGCAAGGCGAGCCCATTTCAGGCAGAGGGGACAGCACAGCCTAAGGCCTAAAGGCAGGAGGTAGCACGGTCAGGCAGAGAACTGCCAGTAGTTCATTTTGGGGGGGGTGTGAAGACAGACAGGAATAGCTGAGGATGGGCCTGGAGAGGCGGCTGCAACTGGGGCATCGTGCCAAGGAGTTTGCCCTTGACCTGAGGTATGGGAGAAACAAAAGCTTAGCCTGAGCCCAGCATTACAGGAAAACAGTATGATAGCCGGTGGAAGGCATCTAGGAGATGGATCTGACTGGCAGCTGGATGGCCAAAGGAGAGAGGTTTGGTGGTGGTCGGGGCGGGGGTCCTGATCCAAGATAGCAGCGGTGTGGATCAGGAGGGAGGACGATGCTAGGAAAACTCCCTTGGGTGATGGGATGGGAGAATCCACCCTATCTGGGACACAGAGGGCCAGGGAGCCATGAGGGAATTCCTTTCCTCAAGGGATTTTAAAATCTAGTTGGAGAATAAGCACTCCTAGCACTGGGTGCAGGTAGCACCTGTCCAGGGAGGAGACAGGCACAGGAAAAAGAGCTTTCACTGAATACCCTTTTGCACTTTGAAACCTGACTACATTACCTATTCAAGAATTAATAAAATTAAAACTTAATAACAGCACAGAGAGTAAGTGCTAAGTTGAGAGAGGTAGATTTCTCTTTGGGCTTGAAGAAGGCTTCAAGGAGGGAATGGGGATTCAGTGGACAGGGAGATTTTTGCCCCAGAGATTGAGCTATGCTGGGACAGCACAAGGAGTTGAGCTAGACACCACCTCAAATCTGGAACTGTCCCAGCTAAGCATAAACAACAGGGCCCGAAAAGTGGGGAGTGTTTGCCATGAGAGTACTGAACCATCCTGCAGGCTGCATCTGCCCTGATACTTTCTGTTGACCGTCCCACTGCAGCAAGAAAGAGAGAGCACAGTTAGAAACAAAGACCTGGTAACAGCTTAGTTACCAGCTGCTGCCAAGTGTTCGAGACTCACCTCCTCCAGGAAGCCCTCCCTGATTGATTCACTCAGAATCACCCAGGTCACTCCAATTCTCTCGTCTTGGCATTGCCTTGTGGTCCTTTGCAGGGGGGTTCACCTTTGCTCCTTTTATTTGCCCTGGACAAAGGGACCTAGGGTTAAATTGAGTTCTTCCCAGGCATCTGCTCTCTCAATCCAGCCTGCCAGTCTAAGCCTTGCTCTTTGGAGTCTGCAGTTCCTCAAGGTACTAACCACATCCTGAAATGAAACGAGACACCTGTGATTAGCCAGGGCGGTAAGGGACTAGGTCTCTGTTTGCTCAGCATGTGGGCAATAGGAAAGAGCCCAGCAGAAGGGACACATAATCAGTTGGAAGCCAGAAGACTTTGGGATTAAGGATTCCTGGCCTTCGTGTGGGAGATTCCCAGAAGTGTGGTTAGCAAGGGTGGGGAGTCAGCCCTCCACCAGCCTGGTCAAGGAGTAGTCCCTATTGTATGTAGTACTTGGTCAAGTTCAGAGGATCCTCCCCCCCAGTGTCTTGTATAGCTCCCTCATCTCTGAGCTCCCACACCTGGCCTCCAGGACCACTGGTAAACATGTCCATAGCCCCCATCCACTCATTCCCGTCCTGCTACTGCTGAGCATTCATTCCCAACTCTTTTTCCTCCAGCCACCCTTGGGGTTGCCACACATGGAACCATCTTGGTTTCAGTGCTGAGATAACGCCAGAAATCCTCTTCTTCCCAGAAGCTTTCCTAGATTGAATAAATGGGACCTGTTCCTCTGGCCTCACTAGCCAGAACACAAGCTTACTTTCTCTCACTGAGGTTTTACCCAGCCCTAGTCTATCAAACCACTGATTACAACACATTGTAGGATTGTGGAATAAATCTAAAGTGTTGCAAATCAGCATGAAAACATTCTTTTTTTTAAAGGAACCCGACTTCTTCTTTTTAAGTTTTTTTTATTTATTTATTTATTTATTTATTTATTTATTTATTTATTTGAGAGAGAGAGAGAGAATATGAGCAGAGGGGAGAGGCAGAGGGAGAAGCAGGCTCCCCGGGGAGCAAGGAGCCCAATGCAGGACTCGATCCCAGGACCCTGGGATCCATGACCCGAGCCGAAGGCAGACACTTAACCGACTGAGCCATCCAGACGTCCTGAAAACATTCTTTAAAAGATCAGAATAGAGGGGTGCCTGGGTGGCTCAGTCGGGTAAGCGTCTGCCTACAGCTCAGGTTATGATCGCAGGGTCCTGGGATCAAGCCCCGCATCAGGCTTCCTGCTCAGTGAGGAGCCTGCTTCTCCCTCTGCCTTGCAGCTCTTGCACGTGCACGTGCGTGCTCTCTTTCTCTCAAATAAATAAATAAATAAAATCTTAAAAAAATCAGAATAGAACAAAAAAGAAAATACCAAAGTGTATCACATGCAATATGGGTAAGTATAGTTTTGTTAAAATTTCATATCAGTTACTACATATACACATGTAGAGCATACCAAAAGTCTTAGCAGTTTTAAGCTTTAATAACCTCAGAAGTGTAAACACTACAGACTTAAGAACATCATTTGAAACTTTTATTAAAATTTCTTTTTCCTGATTTTTATGAATTCTGAATAACAAATTTTTATTTTAATGCTTGTCTCCGCCCATTAGAGATGATAAACATATCCTAATACAAAATGAAAAGGAAAATTCTGTTGTTTAAAATTCATCAAACCCAATAAAGGTGAAAGAAATTTAAATCCCTACGTTCTCAAATGATGCTTTTCTGTCAGTTTGTAGAATTCATACCTCTGATGTAAGTAAAGTGTCAAAGTGCCCTAAGACTTTTGGGATACCCCTCATAGAGGAGTGGGCACTACGTCTCGTGGTAAAATGTCTTTCTTATTCCTGCCCGGTCACAGAAGGTTGAAAGCCGGTGATGCAGTGCAGTCGCTCCTTTTTATATCCCAGCCTCCTTCAGATCTCCCAGCAGAATTCCTCTCTCCAGCCTCTCGTGCTGTCTGTGCTCCCACGCTGGCCTCCTCACTGCCCGCCTCAGGTCAGAGGAGTCTGTTCTCTCTCGCCTCTTTGTGAACGCCAGGCCAGAGAGGCAGGTTGTGTTCGCCTTTTCGGTCACTTGCAAAGTCTAGCCCGAGTTTTTCAGGGAGTAGATATTCCATAAACTCTCATTCAAGGAGATGAAGCCCGAGGGGTTAAAGTGACCTGTTCCAAGCTACAAGGGTAAGCAATATTTTGAATGCACTTACAGCCGCAAGCATTTGAGTTCCGTGGTATTCTGTTGTTACACCTCAGCAGGCCACTTTGACTGGGTCTGTCTGTGAGTCCAGCGCCCTCCTTTTACAGGAGAGGCCAGAGTGGTTAGGTGACTTCTCTAGTATCACACAGCTTGTGGCTCCCAAGAGCAGATGCCAGTCTCCCAAGTCCCAGGCCACTGCTCTGTTCCCATACTCTTACCTCCATCTTGGAGGTCACCTGGGGGGTGGGGGTGGGTGGTCTGGGGCCTGGGTTAGGCTCCTTTGAGCCTGGGGACAGGCTGTTCCCCCCCCACACCCCCCAGTCGCCCTGCCACTCACCAATCCACTCTTATACGCGCCCCGCCCCTCCCCCAAATCCTACCTAGGACTGCAAATGCTTTAACAATGACAAAATTGTAAGTCCCAGGCAAAGTTTCAGCTTTGTGACAACCAGAGTCAGCCACCCCAGAACACGCCCTTGCTGGCCAGGTGGCCTTTTTGTAACAAAGTTTCTGTTTATCAGCTAAGCTCCTCACCTCCTGGAGACGTGGCAGCCCGGAAGTAAGCAGTCGACGCCACCACAGGGATGTTTGCTCAAGTTACTCAGACTACGACTCAATTACAGGTTCTTCGAAAAAGTGATGACTGTCACCACTCTCACCGAGGGCGCAGGTGTGTGGAGCTAGACATCATGTTGGGGAGGGGGTAGGTCAATTTCAAGCAACTGGTGGGGCGGAGAGCACTGAGAGGCCCTTTGGGGCCATTTGATTCTTTCTTGTCACCAGCACTTCTCCATCAAACACAACACTCATTTCACTTCCTCTGTTCTCATGAGTGGCAAATTCTCTCCTGCAAACCCCTCCTCCCACCCTCTGACCCTTTTGATTACAGAGTGCTGGGAGGTTTTCACTTTCCCCTTAATTACACCTTCAAGACATTTCAGCTTTTCCTCAAGATTCAAGCAGCAGGACTGTGGCGCATTTTTCCAGAAAGATGCACTCAAAGTTATTTCTGTAGCTAATCTCTCATGCACCCCCCCATCTAGGTTCATTTTATGTTTGCATAACATTTTAAGCCGAAGTTACCCAAACATGGATATTCCATTGAAAAACTCAACCCAAATTTGCTCACAAGGTATACCTAGAACAGTGCTTGGCATGTAGTCGGTGCTCAATAAATGTTTGTTCATTTATTCCAAGTGTGTAAAAACCACTGAAAATCAAACTAATACGTGACCAAACAAAGTTCAGCAGCTCACGGGTTTTTCACTGGAGGACCTCCAGGCCCGTCGGGCGGGGCAGGGACGCGCAACTGTTCTCGAAGGGAGGCTCGGAGACTGCTGGTTCCTTCGTGTCGGAGTGGGGGAGGGGGAGTGGGAGGGGTGACCCCGAATGGTATTTCTGAAGGCTTGGGCAGGGCCCCCGATTTGAGGAGGGGGTGGTGAGGGGGGAGGGCAGAACTGTGGTTTTACCTTCTCTCCTCACCCCACAGGTTGCTCCCGGCTGTCGGGCTACTACCCAGGACCACCCACACTCGAGTTGCCACACCCTGAGCTCACGGTCTACGCCCCGCCCCTAAGTTGGCGGGTCTACCCAATTTCCCCGTCGCGGCCGGTAGCACGGAAATCCTTGAAAGCAGCCCCTGCCCCGGCCCCACTCCCAGGCACCTCCGATAGTTTTCAGTGCCTTCTCAATGTCAGGTTCACTCCACGCCCCTCTCCCAGGTCCTGCTGATTCATTCCCTACCTCCTGGAGCCTCCTCTCCCTCTCTCTCTCTCTCAAAACCGTCATCCGAGACTGCATCCTTATCTCCCCACATCTGGAGGATCAGCGGAAGCTGCCTGCCTTGCCTCAGGCCCCTCTCCCTTCCACAATCTGAGCAGCTATATTCTTATTCCTTTAGCGCCGTTTGATGGTAGCCGAACCCGGGCCCGGGCAGTCGGCTTCCTGTTGTCACTCACCCTCCCTGGCTTACCTTTTCCTCCTCACAGCCTTTCCCTTACATTCTCGCTAAGCAAGCTGTGTTCTTTTCTCTTTCAAATTCTTCCTCAGACTCCCCTCCTCCAAGAAGCCTTCTTAGACTAAGGTGCATCAACCTGCCCTCGGTATCCCCGGTGTGTTTGTTTCTAATTTTCATTGCCCACGCTTCCCCCTTGTGGGACTTCCCCACTAGAATTTGTGAGAGAGGGAGAACCAACAGGCCTAGACGCAGGGTACCTAGATCCTGTTTGCTTTCTCCTTCCCAGTCCTTAAATTTCCTGGTCCTCAATCTTCGGCCTCCAGAATGCTTTTCCCGACCAACCCACCTAGCCTTCTCAGCTCCACAGCATCCCACAGCCCTGAGGAATTTGGTCGTGCTATTCCATTGCCTTGGTCTGTCTGTTCTTTGTTCTCTGTTATAGGTAGAGCTGAGGGTGAGGGATTGGGTTTCTTCCTTCCTTCAAACCTACCTAGGGCTCAGGACCAGGTTGCACAGGGTACAGAGGAATAACCTGCCCCCATGGGGCTCTCAGGTGCCACAAAAGAGTCTTCTAACAGTCCTTTTTCTCCCCAGACTGAACCCAACCTTGTTCACTGTGTGAGCCTTTTACACAGCACAATTACAGCATTGAGCTCAACACTGAGACAGGCACTGCCCTGCACTTGACCTTTCATTTATTTAAACCCTCACTCTCATTCTCATTGAATGAGAACAGACATTTTGGGCTTTCCCAGAGTGGGACAGAGGGCTGTATGAAGAACCAAGTTCACCCAAATCTTTGGCACGGCCATTCGCTGGGTCCCTCTGGCACACAGACACCCTCTCTGATCCTCAGCTTCACTTCCAGAACTGGTGAGGTCTGCGTGAGCCAGAGGAGGCTTAGGGCAATACCACCACAACTTTTGATATCACTATGCATCACAGCAAGTCAAATGACAGTTATCTTTTCCATTTTACACGGAAAGAAATCAAAGCACAGGGAGGAAGCCAGCACAGTGATCAAGGTCACATAGCAAGGAAGTAGCAGAAGCAGAATTTGCACTTGGTCCCAGGTCTCTCCAAAGCCCACTGTCTTAACCATGACACCATGCTGCCTCTTATTTGGCTGTTGCTTGGAGCTTTGCCAAAGCACTTTCATAGACACCTTCTCATCTGCTCCCCACCCAGGGAGTGTTTATGTGATTTGGCCAAGGTTAGACAGCTAATGTAGAGACAGAGCTAAGTCGGCTGCCTGACTTAGCTCTGGGCAGTTGATACCCAACTGCCTCCCTGCACTGGGGGGCCCCTGGCCCTAGGGTTAGCTGCCCCTCCTATTCCTGACTTCCATTCTAGGCAATGGCTACCTGGACTAAGCCTATGGTCCTATGTCCTATCCAGGACACCTGAACTTGGGCTAAGATGTTTCTCATCTCAGAGGGCAGCCAACATGCATCAGCACCTCCCCTGCTCAGGTGTGAGTTCCCCAGCCGCTGTGGGTGGGTGTGAGCTGTACTGCCAACTGCGGACAGTGATGACCAAGGCTGAGGCCATCTCAGGCAGCCTGGGATCCTTCATGGTTCTACTGGCTCCAGACTCCCTCTTCTCTTTGACAGTACTGCCCTTTCTGTCCTGATGCCCCCTGAAAGTAGTTTCTCTTGTTACCTCTGTGTGCCTACATGAATGGCAATGTTGAGGAACAGGAACTAGGGAAATATCTGCAGTGATACTGGCTTCTGCAGGATAATATGAACCAAAGTATATTTCAAACCCCTCACCTTACCTTGTACATGAATTTGCCTGTCTCATCCTTTTTACCCTTCCTCTGATGGGGAGGGACAGGGCTCATGTGTTGGAGAGGTGAATAGGGCCTGTGCAGTGCACACACATCTCTGGTAAAACGAGCAGAAGCCCACACATCTCTTTGGTGTGTCTAGAGTTGCTAACCTCATCCAGGGCCTGTAAACTGCATTTGTGGGTCTGGAGGGGCAGCGTTAAAACCCTTCCTGGGGCTGTTGCCCTGGGTGTTAGCCAATAGAGGGGGTCTGTTTTAAGCTTTGCTGACGAACTGAGCCCCCCTTCCCCCATACACACAGGAGAGCCCTGTTCTACCCTCTGCAGACGTCAGGGTCTGGGATGACTAGCTCTGGAGGCAAGTAACAAACGGTTTCTCCTTTCAGTTAGCCTAGGGCTTGTCGGAACAAGTGACGGGGAAATTGGGAAGTTGGTGACAGTCACAGTCATGAACACCCTGAGACTCCCTTCCCACAATACCACACAGCTCCCACTTCCAAAAGGCCCAAGACACCAGAGAGAGGACATCTGAGACCCCACCTCTACTCAGGCGCAACGTGGCACTGGCAGGAGGATATATCTCTGAAAGATTTCCTGTAGCGGGGCACATGGGGTGGCCCAATCTGGGAAGGGGAACAGAAGGGATGCGGGGCCATGTGTGGGTAAAGGGAAAAGGCCGTAGAACCCTGGAGGGACTGCTACAGCTTGTCCCCCTCCCACTCCCACCCCCCTCCAAGTCTCAGAGGTCTGAGCTTTTCATTCATCTTCCAAAGGTGGAGGGGGTGGGGGGTCCTACCGAGGGAGGAGCTAGAGGCCACTGCGACAGATTAGGACCAGTCTGGCCCAACCCCTTCATTTCACTACGGGGGGTGGTGAGGAGGAAGTGGAGGAGGAGAAGGCCGGCGGAGGAGGGAGGTGGGGAGCAAGGACCTGGCGGACGCGAGCTCGACTGGGGGAAAGTCCCGAGAAGAAAGCGAGCTCTGCGTTCTAGGCCCGGGGGTTCGGTCGCGGGCGCCTGCGAGGGTCGCCGGCTCCTTGGGCCACTTACCTGTCGCGCCAAGGCAGAGCCGCAGCCTCTCCGCCGTGCGGCTCGCAGGTTTCCCGACGGGACGTCCTGGAGGGCGGGGCCGGGGCGGGCCCTGCACGGCCACTGGGGCGCGCCTTTCGCGCCCCTCCCCGGCTAGGTGCGGGCGGCCACCCGGCGCGCCTCCGAGCGCTGCTGAGGGCAGCGGAACGCCAGGCTGCGCCTAGGGCCGCCGGGAGGCTGGCGGCCCGGAGGAGGGCGCCCCGCGCCCCCCCGGCATCCCCCGCCCCAGGGCTGCTAGGAGCCCGGCTTCTCCGGCTTCTGCAGATCTCAGCCCACCCGGGGCTGCAGTCTCGGCGGCCAGACTCTCCGCGCCGAGAGAGATCGGAGCGTCCTAGTCACCCCAAAGACGAGAGGCTTTAAACCGAGCCGCGGGCGGCGCGGAGCAGCGTGTGCAGGGAATCGCGGCGTGCGGCGCGTGGGCTCAGAGCGCTCCTAGCCGCGAGGCAGCGGCGCTGGAGGGGAGGAACGCGGCCGGCCGGTGAGAAGCCCCGGGGCTCCGTCCCAGGTTTACTTCTCATTGGCGGGGTGGTCTTGGGCAAATGACTCCTCCCCTCCATCCAGCGACGAGAGCAGGTAGTAACTGTGAGCCACGGACAATGCTAAGGGCTTCGCCCGCCCTGCCTCAAGTAAATCCCGACCCCAGCAAATACTCCGGTTGTTAGCCAGAGTATACACGGGAGACGGCTGAACACACAGCCTAGAGTGTTGCTTGCTCTACGTGTGGTTCCCGGACCAGCAGCAGCAGCACCATCTGATCATTTGCTAGAAACATCCGATTGTTGGCCACCCGCCCCCGCCCCGACCTAAATACTATGAAACTCTGGGGATGGGGCCCACCAATGTGCATTTTTAAAAGACCTCCAGGTGATTTGGGTGCTTGCTCAACTTTCAGAACCATTGATCAAGTGGTGGCAGGTCTAGAATTAGAATCAATAAATTAAGTTCTGAGGCCCAGGCTCTGAATCCTCCTGCCATAGCCTCGGGCTTCCCACCGGTTCTCTCCAGCTCTACGGTTCCGTGTTGTCATCTTTTAGGTTCTTATCTCAGTCATAGAGAAGTAACATGGATGGCTACAAATAGCTGGTAATTTGGAAAGGTTCTATGGTAGAAGCTTGGACCACTGATTCTCGTTTTCTTTTTGTTTGAGTTTTTATTTTTATTTTTATTTATTTATTTTTAAAGATTTTATTTATTTGACAGAGACACAGCGAGAGAGGGAACACAAGCAGGTGGAGTGGAAGAGGGAGAAGCAGGCTTCCTGCGGGGCAGGGAGCCCAATGCGGGGCTCCATCCCGAGACCCTGGGATCATGACCCGAGCCGAAGGCAGACGCTTAACGAGTGAGCCACCCAGGGGCGCCCCTTGTTTGAGTTTTTAAATGTGTGTGTATTTCTAAGTCTGTAAGACCTGGGAGCACGCCTGTGGGTGGGTAAATCTGAGCAAGGAGACTGTTCTCACATGAACTGGGAAGGGCAGAGAAGCCACTTGGGGATCCACGTTTGGTCTAAGGGAGGTCATCTTATTTTCCCACAAGAAGTCATCTGTGGGACCCCGAGGTAGGATTGAGCTATTTATTCAGAAGGAGGCCCGAGTTTTGCCGGTGATGGAGTCCCGAGAGACAAGGCAGGCCAGTGGAGCCTGGAAGAGACTTTGCCCAGCTACACTAGGTCAAGGGACCAGGAAGGACGGACTCTCCCCAAAGGAGGAGAGAAGAGAGGCGTCCATGCACTCTTGGCAGGGTCACCTCTCTCTTAAGTCCATTCCCCCCCTCCACCCCCAACTCCCTTGCTTTCACACTAGACTGTCTCTGGGGTGTAAACTCCTGAAGAGAGACCTTTCCAGAATTTACCTGGATCATCCCTTTTAGCCCCTTTACAGACCCTCAGGCGCTATAACTCCCACTGCTCAGCTGCTACCATTCTTGTCACTTGCCTTATTCGACAGCTGTCTTACTCAGACTCAGGGCATTTCCTATGGAAGATTGTGGGTTGCTGTTCCTTATTTGCACTTCCTCGGGGTTAGACACTCCTGTATGGTCTGAGCCATCTGTCTTTGCTCCGCCCTTCCTCCAGCTCGCCTCTGGGACCCTTGGGGTTGTGCGATCCTGGCCTGGCCCTTGAGCCTTAGTCAAGACCCAACTTGACCTGAGAGTGATGGGCTAGGCTGGACTCACAGCCTCGGTTCTTCCCCAGGTCATGGCAGAGTAATGACCACCAACCCTAGCCTAGAGTTCCCGAGAGGGTGGTGTCCGGCTTCATCTGTCTGTGTTGTGTGCTCCACATTCCGGAAGCAAATTACTCATCCCATTTTACTTCAGCTGACTCAAATTTTAGACATGACATTGAGTCCTTAGAATAATTAGCTGCCTAATTTGGAGGTGCATGTAGTCTGCAGGATGTGTGACTCGCCCCTGATATGTCATACACCGAGCTGTCTCTCCTAGCTGGAAGGACGGTTTGGGCTCCCTGCCCTCCACTCCAGGAAGGTCTGGAGGTGAGCCACTGCAGAATGGTGACTGTGACTTCAGCCTGTCACTGGTGGCAAGCCACTTAAAAAAATAGTTTTCTTGAATTGAAGAAGTTATATAGGCAGGGGGTTAAAAATTTTTTTCAAGCCCTGTAAAAAGGAAGGTACATTTTCTGCCTCCCAGACCTTAAGATCTCTCCAGAAGTCATCTATGCATATTCATGACCGAAACTCTTCCCATCACTAAGCTCTTCTGTAGAACATGCCTGGATTCCTCGCTTCTCCCGAAGTCCTGTGAATTTCAGCATTTTCTCACCACCTTATTTTTATTTCTTGGTCATTTTAGATTTTGTTTCTGGGTGTTCTGAGTCTCGCCTTTTACATCAGTGTGCTTTAGGGGGTTCCCCCGTAAGGCAGGAAACGTGGTGGGGAACAGATCAGTTGAAGCACGGGAGACAAGGGCAGCTCTGTAAGGCTATTGACATCAGCTTTGGCCTTTATCAAGTCTCTTGCTTCCACATGTAGTCCCAGAGAGGGGACACCCACCTCTAGATGGGGGCGGAAGGAGGGAGACTGGCCCATTAGATGGAGGTGCTGCCTCCACTTAGCAGACAAAGTTTACAGAGGAAGCTGCCATGAGTTTGCCAGGCAGGTGGTGGTGGTGGTATAGCTGGCCTGCTTGATGGCCTGCCCCCCCAGCTATCACTCCACCCCACCTCCGCCACCCACAGGTGGCTAACCAGCAGAAAGAACTGAATGAGTTCCTTGAACTTCTTTAGGTCTCCATTTCTTATCTGGAAGGTGAGGTTAATGATGCCTAGTGTTGTTGTAAAGCTTGAGCAGATAGATAACTGATGTGAAAGTGTGATAATTTGGTGCTTCTATTACATCTGTTTCTTTATCTTTTCCACCCACATTTCCCCTTCCTCCTTCTCATCTCATTTCCCTCATGCCCGAAAGAGAAACCCTCAAGGCAAAAAATGTTTTAGGAGCCCAAGCAGAGCTGTCCCAAGTTCTGCCATAATCCCTCAGGCATTACAATTCACTCACCTCAGCCTCAATTTCCTTATCTGTAAAACGGGTATAAATATTTTTATTATTGAGTTGTTAGGTTGAATAAGTAAAATGTTTATGTGTAAACATTTTAAAATGTTTATTTGCCAACGTCTGTCACACAATAAGCACTCAGTAAATATTAGAATGTTAGCCCTTAGCATTAGCTGTTTTCCTTCTTCTAGTCCTACCATTAGCAAAACGACGTTGAAGCCTACCGCATGCCAGCCTCCGTATGGGGTAGGACACGGAGATACAAAGGTAAATAAGCCCATCTCTGTGTTCAGGACACCTACAGTATAGGAAGGGAGGCTGATAAATGTACAAATGTACACAAACCATTTTACAAAACAGCTTTATAAAAAATAAACTTTGTTAGTGGGACAGGAAAAAAATGTAAAAAGGGTAATGACTGGGGCAGAGCCAGGACTAGGGTAAGGTGAGTGAAGTATTAGCCTTAGGTGCAAAATTGAAGGGGACACTGAAAACCTTTGTAATCAATAATACTTAATGTGATATTTTAATACATCCAAATTAATGCAAAAAATCTATCTTGGACAAAATATCAACAATTGTTTTTGAAACGTTAGAATTTTTTATTCTTATTAAGCACCAGCTTCATATCGTAGAAAATTTCAGTTCTTCCTTTAACAACCCCTCCTTCCCTCCCCCACCCAAATTCTTGATAAAGAGCTCTTAAAGACATGTTATCTTCTCTCTTCTGTATAAAACTTTATCAAATAAAGGCAAAGAGCTGTGTATATCTTGCTATAAAATGCTGCCCACGGCTGTGGAGATGGTGTCTGCCCAGGCTCCTTTTTACTGTCCAGATCCTGAAAGACTCTTTGTTCATGAGGCAAAAGGAAAAGGCGCATGCACCCCATATACATTTTAAAATGTATTTTTCAGTGTTATTTTTTCGAGAACATTAAAAACATTGAAAAACTATTGAAAAATTGAGAAGTAGGTGTATTAAAGCTCACAACATTATTTTCAGTTTAAATACTTAATTTATACCAAAAGAGAATTTACTATGATCTCACTTAAGCGGAAGTTAATTAAAATTTATTTGAGATGATCACTTGGTCAAAAGAAATTGTCAAAAATGACAGTCTCTCAGTGGAAAGTGAAATAAGCAAGGAATTCGATTTTGAAAACATCATTGAAAAGTTTGCTTGCATGAAAGCCAATTTCCTTTGCCCTCAGGCTCCCATATGGCTCAACATCGCCAGAGACTGGGGGCGGGACAAAGAACCCGAAGACAATGGAGCAGGACATAAGAGACAGAAGGATTAGAAGAGTTGCAGGGGTGGGTAATATAGCATTTATTGTTTTCTCTAATTACTCAAATATCATATGTCTAACATACAAAATTTAGAAAGCACAGAAAATCACAAAGGCAAAATATAAGCTATTTGAGGTCTCTGGGTGGCTCCGTCAGTTGAATGTCTGACTCTTGATTTCGGTTCAGGTCATGATCTCATGGG